GCTCCCACTACAGCGGCTCGATGCTCTAGGAACTCACACTTCAATTTTATCTGCAAAAGAGGAGCTTCTCCGAACTGAGGCAAATAAACGATCGATCATATATTACGAGAGACGCCCGATGGTCGTACTGTCCGTCGAAAGAGATGCAAGCAGATTATTGGGTTTCAAGATAGTTGATGAGCTTGGTATGAGGAGTTCTGGGAAGCGAACAGGGAACCTTTAAACAACCTGCACACATCATATGCTCGATAGGTAAAAATATCCAGATCATACTTTTAATTATCTACAGGGTAGGCGTATCCTCGATAGTAGAAAATAACGTAGGGGGGGGGGCACACCTCCCAAGTTTAGGGTCGCCAATTTATCGCATGGGGCCCGGCGTTATACCACGCCGGACCTGTCTGGATCCCAAAAACGCGGAACATGACAAAACTGCTCGGTCCTGCTGCCATTTTAGGCTCTCCTGGAGCAGCCAGAGCAATTAAAAAGAAATGTCCTCGATGTCGCCCCTCTGGCGCGTCCCCCGCACAAAACCACGTTGGAGGCGCCCGATGACCTTCCGCACAGGATAAGAAGGGATTCAAGGACCGACTACTCCCCTTCCCCCACCCCCCCCCCCCACGCTCCTCGAGAGGAACACCCCGAAGAAGATTCCGGCGAGGATGCCAACCGCAAAGATAGGAGACAAGCAGTAAAGGCAGACAGCCTTCCCCTGAGGAAAAGAAGGGATTCAAGGACCCACTACCCCCCTCCCCCCCCCCCCCCCCCCCCCCACCCCCCCAAAAAAAAAAAATCAGGAAAACAAAGTAGATTGGATTAACCTCTTGTGGGGCTTCCACGGGCAGATATGTCGTAAGTCCCGCGTTTTAAGCAGCCCAGAAAATCTCTGAGACCCAACAGATCCTCTCCTTCGTGGAAAGACAGCTAAAGAGGAGTCGAGGAAATCCGCCTCCTTCCTTAAGAGGACCTGAACTCGCATGTTGCAATGAATCCATAAAAGTCGCCTTGAGGAACAAGCCAACTATCCACGTTTTGGCACGGAATCCCTTCTGATCTAGCACCAAAGCATGAGGAAGTACCTGTAGATCTTTCTCACGCAAGTGACATAACAATCAATATTCTCCGAGATGTAATTGCGAATGCGAATGAATTGGTCATGCTCCCCCCCCCCCCCCCCCTCCTCACACCCCGGCAAATGATTCGCTTGTACAACAACCGCAAAGATAGGAGACAAGCAGTAAAGGCAGACAGCCTTCCCCTGCCAACACACGCAGCTACAACCGACAGACCTCCCTCCCTCAGACCTCCCCCCTCCTCACACCCCGGCAAATGATTCGCTTGTACATGGGTTCAGGCAACTGTCAGATGACACAGACCAAATAATTGTTTGGTTGCCCGGACGCAACGTGAAAAAAAGAAACAGTTGAACGGAGACGAATGCTTGGATGAAGGAAGAGGGAATCTGGGCATGCAGTCGTGCCTCAACCGTCGGCTGGTCGCAATCAGACCCGGACGCAGGCGGATTCACAGCATCCGCTGGTTGCGGAGCCATGCCACGTCTGGGGGCAGTGGAAGGGAGGGACGAGCTGAGGTGGGGAGGGGAAGGTCTGAGGGAGGGAGGTCTGTCGGTTGTAGCTGCGTGTGTTGGCAGGGGAAGGCTGTCTGCCTTTACTGCTTGTCTCCTATCTTTGCGGTTGGCATCCTCGCCGGAATCTTCTTCGGGGTGTTCCTCTCGAGGAGCGTGGGGGCGGGGGGTGCGTGGCATACAACGACTTCTCCGGTCACGACTGGTGTTACGTCAAGCCCAGCCACTGGTGCGGCCACTTCAGCAGCCTCTGTCGCCAAAATCCCAATACCAGAAGCGACTACTACTGCACCAAAAGCAAGCGCGTCCGAATCTACTACATCTACAAGCGTAGCTCAGCCAATCGAAATCACATCAGAACGTACTGCCATTGCAACCACAACCACCAGATCATCAACCACATCAGAACCAACCGCTACTACAACCACAACCACCAAATCCTCAACCGCAAGGGAATCTACCACTTCAGCAACCACAACCACCAGATCATCAACCACAATGAAATCAACCTCTTCTGCAGCCACAACCACATCAGAAGCAAGCTTAAGTCCACAACCACATCAGAGTTAACAACCACATCCTTGAATCTTTCAGTACTACAGCTGTACTGGTATGGTGGGGTTTGCATGGTCCTTTTAAACTTTTGACTAAACTTTTAATTACTCATACTTGCAGGTACCTTGGAACATGCAGCTACGTGTTTCAAGCTCATTCTTTTTGCATAAGCCCTGAGCTCCCACACCTCTGAAAAAACCTAGGCTGTGAGCAGAAAACTCCATACCATAAGGGTTAAGAGGTGCACCAATGCCATTTGCCACATCTAAACCAGCAGCACCAACAGCACATAACAACAAATGAGTGCAACCTAAGGGCCATGACTGAGACAAACAACTAAGGAAAAGGGCTGTGATAGATGCTTGGTAATGGTAATATGTAAACACAGCAAAATCTCACTTCGCAGTTGGGATGATTTAACACAGTAGTTTACAGGCAACCATAAAACAGCACAATTTTGCAGCATTTTCAGAGCAATAGCAGAGATGTATGTTTCATGTTAGCCCTAATAGATTTTTTGGCATGGTACCAAAACAGCATGCAAGAACCACCAAGTCTTTACAGCAAGGGAGAGCTTTCAGTCCTGACACAGTGTCTTCTTGCCTCAAAGAGGTTGTGGGTTGAGCAGCCCTTGAGGTTTTGAAACTTGATACTCATTTACAGTCTACCAAAAAATACTTTCTGCAGGATAGAGAGGTTAGCTGAGCTTCCCAACAAGGAAACATGTACCTTGACACCTAAGGTGTCAGAGTGATGTACAAATGTAAAAAACCATTCCCAAGGTTTCCCATAAGGCCAGGCTCTCAATGTTCTTAGAGGTAGAACTGACGACACCACACACATTCATCTGCCTGCAATTTTCTTTTCACAGGAGAGCTTTGGTTATGGCAGTGGGCTCAACCTCTAATAAGCAATGCCATGCTTTTTGGAGTGGCGAGATGTTAGTAGCACTCCCACACTTCCATGGACCTCCATAAACAATTGCTTAGGCTTAAATAAAAATGATGAAAACCAATTCATAAAAGTTTTAAAAGGAAGTACCACTTCAAAAGATGATAAACTGAATAATTCAAACTCTTCATATTTTATTTCACTTACATACATGTTACTTTCATAGGCTCTGGTTGCCCAGAAAATCCAAATCCTGCTCAAACTTTGAATGAACCAAGGCAGGTCTTTCTATTCATCTGACAAGTAACCTTGGTATGCTTTCATGATGGATTGGAGTCAGAAGCATCACACTTTGAAAATGGTTCTTCACCGGAGGTTTGCTGCTGAAGTCTGTAAGTTACTCCTCTGCAACTCCAGCAAAGAGGCACACAAAGGTGCTATAGTTGAGAACACCTACATTTGGCCATATGGTTGACTGCAACCACTTGGGAAGAATATTTTCAAGTTCCAAGTTTTCATATGAACCAATTCATGGTTTTCATGGATTCCCATGTGTACTTATTGCATAATCCATAGCAGTTCCTGCATACTTTCTATATCAGTTCAGTTGCAGTCTGTGTGTGGTGCTGAGTTGAGCTGCATGCTCAGGATAAACTGCTCACCCTCTCCACCCATCCTGATCTCTAAATTAAAACATAAAATGTCATGATATCCAATTGAACTAAGTTTGGCCATTATCTACCTTCTGCACACAAAAATTTTGCATAACTGAACTATTAAAAATTAGTTCAATGAATATGCAGGGAGAAAATAATCATGTTTGGAAGAATGAGTAATTGCAAAATAACTGACTCAGAACCTGTCACTGACCTCAGATTGATAGTTGTGGCAGACCATGATGCCCACTTTGACCAAAGGTCAATGGGAGCATTTCATTTTCATATAAGTGAAAAAGGGCTTTAGAAAGGGTCTGACCAAAATATACATGTACCTATCATACTGCATACCCAGTCCTGTCTGTATTTCACCTGAACATCTCATGGTACCATCAATTGGATCTCCAACATCATTAATGCATGGTTTGGTTCCAAGCTCCAAGCAAGAAAATCCTCAGTCCATTTTGTCTGCTGCTGATCACAACATATACCATGGTTATTCAACTTCAACACAAGGCATGTATTATGATCAGTCATGAAAGAAGTGTCCTGTGGGCCTGATGAAGTCAAGTAACTCTTGATTGATTGATTGATACCATCTTCTTGTATGATACAAACAAAATGTCCTATAACTTGAAACATGTCACACCATACTTAAGTGATATATCAGCTCTTTACCATCTGTATACCATCAGGCCAAGACCAGATTAAGAAGTTGTGAGGCCTGGGGCAAGTGGATTCTTGGGGCTCCTTCCCCCCTCCCAGCTACTTTGTGCAAATACTTTACATTTAAAATTCCCTTCAGGGGCCCCCTGGAAGAGTGGGGCCCAGGGCAACAGCCCCCTTTGTCCCCTCTTAATCTAGCCCTGCATCAAGCACATTGTGGATATCAGAATTCTGCAAAAAGAGCATACTAAGAACCATTCTGAAATAGGATATCTTAGATGTTATAGCTAATTCACACTATGACATGGGGGACTTGTATATAGAAAGATTTTCAATGCAGATTGTCAGGAAGTTCCCATGAATAAGGTCATAATCAATTCTTAATTCTCAAAACACCTTGTCTGTATGAGTAACAACCAGCTATCAACCAGCAGCAACAATCAGTGCTTTCCCTAATGAATCTTCACAATCCAAGAAGAGAAGGCTGCAGAATTTGGTGATGTGGCAGCCACACAAATATCTAACAAATCTGAATTGTCAACACACCCCCCCATACTGCCTCCTTTCTCCTTATTCAAAGTAGCAGGGTACTCTCATTCCTTGGTACTGGAGGCAATTGGTAAATAAAAAAATACATACATACAATGGTGCACGGCATTTCATTCACCTTAGCAAACTCAAGAGCATGATGAGCAGAATATAAAGCCTAGTCCACAGGTCTCGCAAGCATTTGAAACCCCAGAACAATGCAACAATAACTGGAATTCCACCAGCCTGGGGGACTGACATGGCATTCAGTGTTCCTGAAATTGAGGATGAGTAAACAGCAGATATTTCATGATGGAAAAAATGAAAGACATGGGGAAATGAATAGAGGAGTGAGATTTTGCAGAATTTCAAACAATTTCAATGTGAACGGTGGGAAACAAAATAAACATGCTGGGCAACTTGAGCAGGCACTGAAATGGCAAATACAATAACACTGAGTTCTGGAATGACATCAGGATCACAAGAAGCACGAGAGTCCAGGCTTGAGAGTTGCTTTGATCGATGCTAAAGGATCTTTGGACTCTCTAGATGAGATCACATTCATGATCTGACTGGGTGGATTCTCCTGCAATGAGTAAATAGATGGGAAAACCACTGAATGTCATAAAAATGCAAATGGTTTTAGTTCCATTTCAAGCATATGAAATACTGCATACCATTTAGTTCTCTATGATATACTTTTAAATCTTCAGCTTAAGTTTAACAGAAATAAAAGGAATCAGGTGAGTTAAACAATGTGATAAAGAACAAACCTGCAATTTGATGATCTGGAGGGATTGCTTGGGTTTGACACAAACAACTCGCACCTTCTTCAAGGAGGACAACTTTGCCAACTGCTGCTTGGAGAGGACAATTGGCTTTTGCACTGCACCAACTAAAGGAATCAAAGAATTAGCAAGATTAATATCTATGACAGAACCAAAATAACCCATTTGGCTCATAAAAAAAATAACATACCTTGCATAGCTTTGATTGAGTTAGTATTGAGAATGATGTGAGACCCAGCCTTCTTGGCAATGGGTGCTTTGATGACCTGAGACTTCACCTTCTCGACAGGTTCTTTAGGCTTATGTTCCTCTGAGTTTAAAAAGCTCAAAGCCAACTTCCCTGCCTCTGCAAATAACAAACCACATGTCAATCAGAAATACAAATTAACTTATGCAGGAATATACAACATTTTGAAAGAAATGGCATTACCAGAAAGGGCAATGGTTTGACCAGCTTGCAAAGCAGTGCTTATAATGTTAGAGTCATCATGAGGCAGAAGGGTGATTCCATGAGCTTCCAGGATCTTCAATCCCTCATCTAAAAATACAGTTGAATGTAACTCCTTATTTATATCTTAACATATTCAAATGGGAAAAGGGAGAAGCAATGTTACCATCAGAAGACTGTGAACACATAGGTTGCTGAGAGCAATCAGACTCCAGCGATTCGCTAGATGCAGATGCATCTGAGCTTGTTGATGACGTCTTCATCTCTGATATCAGGCTGAGGATCTCCTTCTTGCCTCGACTGGAATCTTGCACCTTCTGATATGTAGCCTGCTTTGTCCCTGATTTGTTCACTGTAATAACTGAACAGATTCCCAAACAATTGAATGATGGCAATCCTAATTCAATTTAAAATTGTGGGATCTCAGACAGTTGATCACTTGAGGGTGATTGTGAATTCCTCTGAAGGAAATCACAGGGATCTAACAGAGGATTGGGCAATGAACTCACTTTCTTGGTCTAAAAGACTAGGAACAAGTGAGGAGATGCTTTTGATGGCAGCAGCCTGCTCCCTTTCAGATTCTAGTTCTGGATCTGGAGCAGCTTTTGCACCTGTCTGTAAGGCCACAAAAATAATATGCTACTTTGAAACACCAATTTCAAAACATAAAAATACCATATGGTTCCAAAGGAAAAAAAAAAATTTAATAAGGAGGAGAGGGAAGGAGGTGATTGAGGATATAGATGAGAGATGGTCATCTATTTGAAATGGAGAATCCAGTTGTTTAAGAATTTAAGGGAACAGCTCTCCAGAAATTAAATTACAACAAATATAGTAACTGGATGAAGGTACATTTCCCTATGAAACTACTATAGAATCAGTTGGGAGAAAGAAGATGAAGCAGTGTGAGTGAAACACATGTGAATGAAATTCATACCTCTAACATAGCCAACATGGCTGGGTTCCCAAGGTCAGCAGCAATGTCCAGAGGAGTCTTGCCAAACTTGCTGCATTGAATTGTAGCTCCATACCGCAATAACAATTCTGCAACTTCATAGTGATTTCTATCCACAGCCCAATGAAGAGGGGTCATTTGCAGCTGGAACATGAATGAAAAATTGTCAAGAAACTGAAATGCCAATATGCCATGAATAAAAATTTAGACTTTCAATAAACTTGGCCACTACTCTGTAAAATATCACTAATAATGTGCATATTGACTAAACACAACATGATTTCATTGGATACATGTAATTATTATGACTCAGAATATTGCTTCCATGCAGAAGGTGTGAGTAAAAAAACTACTTGGAACGAAACATACCACCAAGGCCAAAAAGCACATTCATGACACAAGGGCAACAATTTCTTGTCATTTCTGTGACTACTCAAAAATGATGAAATAAATTTTAGGTGAAACTTATACAATTGTAATCTGATTGTAGGGAAAATTGCTTCAAGTACACGATCTACTCATGGTGTCATGGCTGGCCAAAAATTAAGTAATAAAAAATTTCAAAGAGCATTCTGATATTTGTTTAGATACTTTCTAGCAAGTAATGCTCAGTAACAGAGCAGTTAACAGTAATAGAGTTCACAGCCATGGAGCTACAATTAGTATGTACAGTCTGCTGACCCAGAAGTGTGAGCCAGATCTTTGCCTTGGGTCTGCAGTCAGTGAGGAGCAAAAATGCTGAATCAGCACTGACTGACCTGGAGGGGTTTTAGATGCCTTAATTTTGGATTCCCCCTTCCCACCCCCCCTCCAGATTACATCCTTGACCTTGGGAGATGCACTTGCTCATTTCCATTCCTCATACCAATGGGTCAACAGACTGTCAACTGTGAGAAGGCCAAGCTAGATAGGTCTAGAATACAGATGAAAAATTTCATACCATGTCTTTTAAATTGACTAGAGCACCTTGTTTGATGAGGATTTCACAAATGTTGGCATGACCTTCAGTTGCAGCAAGATGGAGGGGTGTCTTTTCCATCTTATTGGTAACATTGCGATTCACACCTGACTTGAGAAGAACCTCAACAACACTTGCATGGCCATTTTGAGCTGCCAGATGCAATGCAGTGTACCCAAGCTGCAAAGAAAAAATATTCATTTGATGCTCTTCCATGGCACTCAAAAGACCAAAGAGAAAAGTAAGAAACTATAGATTACCCAATCGCTGGTAAAGGGGGTGCCTCGGTTAACAAGGTACTTCACTTTAGGTAGATCTCCTACCTTAGCAAAATATAGCAATCTTTTTGACATTTCATTGGCTGGCTCCCCAAATGCAAATGCTTTTTCCTTGTCCTGCTGATTCTGTTGATAGCCAGGAGGGGGAACCCCCAAGACCAGAGTGCGCCCTGGCCCTCCAGCGACTCCACAAGGACGGATGGCATTGGAAGGAAGGTTGGATGTAGAGACCACTCGCAAAGGCTGATAGAGTCTTCCAGGAACGCTGATGGCTTGCATTTGCTTTTCTCCATGTTGAACCGCATCAGAGTCTTCAGTTTCAGACCCCGAAACGAGTTCCTATGATCAAATGGGATCATAGTTAAAGGTTTGGACAGGGAGGTCAAGAGACTTTACAACCCATATCAAGAGTCAAGGCTGAGTGCTCTTCCTATCACCTCCATGTGCAAGATAAGTTGACCCCTCATGAAGATAATCATAATAAATGGGAGTATGTCAATATGCAGTATCCATATATGAAGCTAAATTCTCTCCCAAATGTTAAAATTGACCCATTATGGCATTTAACCCTTCCTTAAATATTTTTTTATTATAGATGCATTCACATCACCACCAAATATATTCGAAGTATGCATTACCTAATATTTGAAACTACTCCTCAACTTTGTCTTATAAGATATGCAACTGGAAAATGTCCTACTGTTACAGTAGGAAAAACAATCACATTCTATGTCACCAAAGCCCTTAACATGACCAACTTAATGCCTGAACAAATTTTAATCTGACTGACCAATCCAAAGAAAATAACTCCAATGTATCTGGATGCTGCCTGTACCACAGTCCCTATATCTTCTTTAGTAAACTTAGTAACACACTCCTATACTATCTCCAGCACCATTAAATCATCCTCATGCTCCAATCCTTCATCCATTTTTTTAAACTCCAAAATCTCTCTTTCCAAACACATCCTCACCAAAAATATTCAGATCTTTGGTCATTAAGGTTAACACAAACTTAACAGTTACTCTCACTGAACTTAATTAACTGATTTTCCCTTCATGCATCCCCCTCCTCTAACAGCTCCAGGTTCATCTTGGATCTCACCCAATCCCCCACCAAATGAATTTATCTATGTGTGCATCATCAGAAAAGTTCCTTATTTTAGTTGTAAGGCCATCATATATGTCATTAATATAAAAAAAAAGAATAGGCCCATGCCTTCCTTAATAGTTAATTCCAGCAATTACCAACTGCCTCATCCATTTTATTACATTATCATACACTTGCTTAACACTTGAGTCATTTGCAAATATTTGGGAATCATGAATCAAATTTGAAATTGGTCTTGATAGCTCATTCTTGCTGCTAATTGTCATTATTTTTGCCATTGAAAAGGAACACAGTATGTTAAGTTAGGTAAAACGAAAAACAGCCTTAAAAGGGAAAAACCATGTATACACACTTCATATTGAAATGTGGAACACAATCCTCTCTCATTCATTAATGTGGAATTAGAATGGCAACCTACTGGCAAGAATAACAACCTCATGGCAGCAAAACTGGTGGCTAAAAAAAAAAGACTTAAGAAAAGCTTTAAAAAAAAAAGAAATAAGGAAAAAAACAAACAGCAGCGTCAAAATGTTCCAACAGCTGTGAAAGTTTGAAATGGTTCAAGAACCAACTTTATTCCTTGGTTCCTACCATTCCATCATGCTCAAACTGTTCAAGCTGTCTCAAAACCATCCCTGGAAGACATGACTGCATGCATGACAATTATCAAAACGGTCATGTCTCTTAATGTCTTAAATAATTAAGATTTAAATGTAACTGATCCGTTACATATATGTAGTCTCAATGTCATGGTGAAGGCTTTTCTACTATTAAGTGACACATCCAAAGCGCGATAAAAATTTTCTTGATAGCATTGCTTGGATGTTCAACTGGGGAAGGCCTAGCCCCACGTGTTAGTTTGGTTCCGATCGTTGCCATCATAACCCAGAAGAATCAAGGGCCCACAGCGATGATTAAAACTGAAGATGGAGAAAATTATTCAGAAGCGCCAGTTAAAGAGACACATGGATAACCCAAGGTGGGTTTTCTAAACCGATCAATGCACGTGGGTAATAAGAGGAACAGGATGTAGCCAGAACCGGAAATGGAGGACGGACACGATGTGAGGCACGACAATTACTCTATCTCCCAACCCGTTGCTCGTACGTCGCATCAGATCGCATCGGAAACTCACCAAGATGGACGCATAGGACATAACCTCGCTCTCCATCATTGAACGGAGTTATCGCCGTAAGAAACTTGGGATAACTAATCCCAGTATTCACAGCGGACAAGGAACATGGCGGGGGACGTTCGACTCCTCTTTCCCGCGATTTGCCTCCGCACCGGAAACGTCGTAGCCATGGTTATACGGATATCAGATGATCATTAAAAATATCTATTTATATTCATTCCATTGTGCAAAGAGTGAAAATTAGCAGAGGGTGAAAACAAATCTGAGATGGGTGCATCGCCGGCAAACGAGCAAAACAGCAGCTCTGCTCACATAAACAAACAACTGCGCATCAGGCAATGCGCGACTCCGCTAAGATCAACAACATGGCCGCGATCCTTGGCCTGTTGGTTTGTTTTGAATATCCTTGCCAAGTTTGTCTCTTCCGGGTAGTCCTAAGACGTGGCCTTCTAATAGTAACACAAGCCTAAGGTAGATTTTGTAGTCCCATCAAGTCCTGCAGTTACCATGACTTGCATTAATCCCCCACAGGAGTAGAGCCATGTGAAGCGAATGCTGACATCTGATGGAGTCGAATGTGTTCTCCAATTGACTTCGACTGGCTCTAAGAACGTTGGCCCTCATAAGTAGTTGGCGACATACATTGTGATGGTTCCTGGCAGCGATTCAGAGACTCATTTGGGTTGGAGGTGGCGAAGGAGAAGGAGAGTTTTAAATTTGAAGAACTTGCAGCTCATCAGTGCCTTCTGTGTTTGTGTTCTTTCAACTCTTTTATGTTCAGGAGCTTCTGCTGGTGAGTGATTAAGAAATTCAAGACGTCTTGATGCTTCAAAGTAGGCCTACGCCTAAAGGGACATGAAAATGTACTTGATAGACAATTGTACCAGTTAAAAAGAGTTGTTCCAGTCCTATGTTGGACTTCCCCCAACATAGGACTGGACTAGCTAAACCTAGTGCTGGGTAGGCCCAATCAGAGCGGTGGAACAGTCTAAATCAGCTCTTCAGAAGGTTGTTTCAAAGGGTCAATAAGCATATCATCCCTTTCACTTCTGAGTAAGTAGCATAAGTAGCATGCAGCCTGAAACCTGTGTACCATGTTTGGACTTACCATATGCCACAAATTTTCAAGCTCTGAGGGAAAGTTATTGAAACATCAACAGGAAATTTTATGAACTGCATTAAGATAGAAAACAGCCTTCACATGTGTCATTATAGTAGTAAAACCTGTATAAAACACATTATATGCCATATACCATTATAGTATCAATAGGGTTAAGCTTATGCCATGTGGGTGGGTGGCAGTGCTGGTCTATTTCATGTATAGGTGGAGGAAGATTAACACCAATCACACCATTTTGTTTAAATCCAATTCAAACTTTAAGAGGTTTGTAGATGCTATCCCAGAATGGGTTTTGGTTAATGCATACCTCCTAGGGATATTGTGTTACCCCTAGAGTTAGGTCAGGTTAGGTTGGGGTTTATTATAAATAATAAGAATCCCAAGGCTTTTGGCATGTTTCCAGTAGAATTAGTCTGGAAACATTGGAGACTGGGGGAGTGCAATTTCTCTAGGGGATGTGTGCTTAACTGTTATCCCTAGACTGAGCTGATATGCAGTAACAATAGCTTTGGAATGACCTGCAGTGGAAAAGAGACCTAGTATTTTTTTTTAATTATCTGTCTTCATTTTATTATAAAGACTATTTTACTCTTTCAAATTTATTTTGTTTCTATCAGATTCTTGTTAAATTTCTGTATTTTCCTGAAAACCTGTCTGAAGTAATTTCATGCAAAAACTTGTTTTCTCCACAGATTCTCAAGTGAAAAGGGTTCATTTCATTGTGGAACCGGAGAATTCAGTTGTTGTACGCGACCAGCCTGCACGGTTGGATTGTCAAGTCAGTGATGAATCAGCCAATATATCTTGGAAAAGGGATGACATACTACTCACCTTTCGTGGCGATTCCAGAAGGTATGCTTTTGCCTTACCAAATTCAGCTAGGGTTGCCTGCATGTGTATTGCATTTAATTAGCTTATTTTACTTGCAGCTATTATGTGTCTAATAAGGCATGCTTATTCGTTTCCATTAATTTTAGTATGTTCTCATGCAAATGGTTATGGTATGAAATATCTTATGCCCTTACTCTGACTGTCTCCTCAACCACCTCTAGTGTATTTACAAAAGTTAATGCAAAAGTTTGCTTGACAAATTATAATTGTACCCTTTTCCATAAATTGGAAAGTGCAATTGGGATTATAATTAAGAAAAACCTAGGCTATAACTTTTTTTTTCATGGTCCCTTCAATGATGCTATAACCAAGTTTGAATATTTCATTAATTGAGCCTATGTTTTTGCTTTTTCATGTATGCAATCCAAATAGTGGTGAACAAAAGCAGAAATGATGATTATTATGCTTACTTCATTTTTGCTCTACAAAATTACAGGAAGCAGCTCTCAAATGGTTCCTTGATCTTCTCATCCATTCGTCACACTCGATCTGAGTGGCCAGATGAAGGATATTTTCAGTGCCTGGCTACTGTGCCTTCGGTAGGAACTTTACTCAGTCGAAAGGCTAAGCTTCAAGTGGCATGTGAGTCCCTTGACTTCTTACTTTCTGTTATCATGGCTATAATGCATGCAATTGACTGTATTCCTCTTCTTTTTCTTTTTTTTTTAGCTCTACTCCGTTTTGATGAAGAGCCATCTGACAAGGATGTTCTCTTGGGAGAAAAGGCATTGTTTGTGTGCAGCATCCAGGCCACACCATCCCCCACAATTCTATGGCTAAAAAATGGCCAGCCTCTCACACTTGATGCCAGTCGCATGCTACTTCTACCTTCTGGTAAATTATTAAAAATATAGGTCAATGTTGGGGAAAGTAGTTCTAGGGTATCTAAGATTTTGATCTCATTCTCAAAATATGGGGTTGAGATTACAATGAAAGGATGACATATATGATGGAAGGGTAGGATTCCTTGGGTTATGAATGCTTTGTGGTCTACTCATTGTGAAAATGTTGGCTGACTGGCCAAGCTTGAGTGTCCTCAAGTAAAAACACCTTGTATATCCCTGAGAAGCATTTGAGGTGAAACCAGCTCATTGTTGGTGATGCAAGTAAGTAAGGGCCGTATTCACATCACTTCCTTAGCTAAGGGATCCCTTAAGAGTTAGGAGACCCCTAGCTAAGGGTTCCCTAAGAGATGATGCCTAGAAAGGCTGGAAAATAGGGGTCCCCTAGAGGTACTGTATTCACGTTCTTCCCTTAGCTAGGGAATCCCTAAACGCACCCCTAAGAGACATAAGAAATTGGAAAGAAGTTAGGAGAGCCTTCAGCCACCCTTAGCAGACTCCTGCGAGTTCATTGCACTCTTTCAGAGAGCAGAAATGCCTATTCAGTTCTCTTCTCGAGGTTTTGCATTTGGTACTGAAAACGGTTTCGAATAATTATTTTACTTGTTTAACAGATTGTGCCCTTGTAGTTTTTCATAATTTCATGAGTGCTCCTGTTGTATTGTATCGACATTGAAAAATTGACGCAATATGACAGATATTAAAACTTCAATAATTTTGCAATGCTGAGTCAACATTGTCTTACATGCTGATGTTTTCACACATCTCATTTGTAGATTCAGGATTTTTTAAATGAATTTTTTTGTCACGAGTTCCTCGTTGGAGCTAACTTTACAAATTGTTTTCTTCTCAGTTTCTAACAGGTGCTAACAGGTAATTCTCATATACTGAGATAACAATGAGCCTGAAAATCCAGTTGAAGTGAAAGCGCATCCATGAAAGGATTCCTCGTCAGGTCATATATATGATAAGACGGATGTGTTTCTCTTCTATAATGAGGAAGAGTTCTTGAAGAGGTTTCAATTTTCTAAGCAGGCTGTTCTACAAATTGCAGATATTTGTGGCTCTGCTCTCCAAGAAGCAAGTCGAGGGAACACGTTGTTGCCAATTCAAAAAGTTCTTGTTGCATTGAGATACTTGGCAACAAATTCATTCCAACAAGTCATTGCAGATTTGAGAGGTGCAGAAGTGAGTCAGGCCTCAGTAAACCGATGCATACATGCTGTGTGCAGAGCCTTGTCTGCAAGAAGTGCTGCATTCAGTCCATTTCCTTCTCCTGCTGAATACAAATTGATCCAAGCAGCTTTCTATCATGTTGCCAAGCTTCCTGGAGTCATAGGTGCGATACAGATCTGAGGGGCCTTTCTAGGTTCCTTAGCTGGAAACTGGATTTTCATGGAAATATGGATTTTTTTTCCCAGCAATCTGATATAGCTTTGTTGGTGACTGAAACACATTTCTTGATTTCAAGAACTAGAGAGTGTTTCCGAAGGAGAACTTTGAATGCTTCCTTCTCCTCTGTTGTAAAGTTTTCCCTTCTTGACCTGCTAATGTTTGCACCTAATCCTGAGAATATGACAACTAACTGATAAGCAATCAAGCCAATCAGCCCTGACGTGACTCTGAGAGAACTGCAATGATGGAAGTATCATTGTAACTTTAACATTGAATATGAATAATTAACTTTACTCGTTGAGCACCCACCTAGGCCTAAGTTGGTACTCAACGTTAGTGCAAGGATTATTATACTAATGGAATATCTAAGTCTACGTTTGAGAATGCCACTAAGTATAAGCATACTTCAGACAAAGCTGCTGAGTAGGGCACTTTTTTCACGTGACCGTGTCACCGATTCATGGGAAGTGCTATGGCAAGGTATCAAAAGAATCTAAAAAAAAGTGTCGGACTCAAAATGAAATAATTGCTGCAGCAATCAATATGATTGCAGAGGACCTCTGACTTCTGTGTGTGTGGCTAGGAGGGAGCGGAGATCAAAGAATTTCAGTGCTTGCGGTTTCTCCTCCATCACCCCTAAAGGCTTCCTTAGCTAAGGGAACCCTTAAGGGACCAACACGAATACCATTTTTAGGGGAAGCCTTACCTAGGGGTCCTCTAACTGTTCAGTTATACTGTTGCTGGGAGGGTGACAAGTATGGGCCTCATTGCAAGCTCTGTTTTGCTAGCTATTGATCTGTTATTTTAGAATAACATTATCAAAATTATACACAGCTTAAGGCTAGCCAAAATGTTAATTTTAATACATTACATTTTGAGCCAACCTGTATGGCATGCACACAGCAGAATGAAGACATCTCAACTAAACTACCAGCACATGCTACTGTCCACTGCAATGATTTCCAACTTTTAAATATGGCTAATACCTTTGCCTCTCCACAATAAATTTTAATGAAATTTCACATATCTCTTTAAAACATATTAGCCTATGCTTAGTGTAAGTTTCGTGGTAAAAGATATAGTCTGAACAGATGTATAGTAAATTTAGAGTAGGAGATAGCCTTTTTGTCGTGGCTTTTACATAGTAGCAGCAGATATCATTTGACATCATCCTTCAGCTGGATCACCTTAAAGAAAGGAAAAACGGATTCTTGGGGTGAATTTACAACCATAGACACTGTCATCGGTAATGAAATGACCTCTTGATAGGGTGCTGCAGGGGCTAAAACTGTGAACTCACAAGCATCTAAAAGTGAAAAAATGGAAGCTTCCCTACCTTCTTCCATTAGGGTTGGGTTTAAGGATCCCTTTGCTAGGGGAGGAATGTGAATATGAAACATCTAGGGGATCCCTAACTTTCTTGAGTTAAGTGTCCCTTAACAGTTAGGGGAGCAATGTGAATACGGGCCTAAGTCTTAGACAAATGTTTAGAGACTTCTTAGGGGAACATCTCTTTAGATTTTTTAACTCTTGGTTGGAGTTCTGAGTTGGACCATTGATTTGTCTTGTCTGACAGTCAAATAGATTATTAGGCCTATTTTTCTGGGTAGCAATGTGCAGTGTAAGTTTTGAAGGCATAAATATTGATCCAATGAGTCTGAAATGGAAATTTGACTAAAAATGCTTCATGGTACAGGTCAGAGTTACAAATTACTACCTAATGAAGTTCACATGCAGCAAAAGAAACATTGCCTTTTTTTGCTCATGACCAGAGGTGTTTACTATTGAATGGTCTTACTTTTTCAAGGAAATGACCAGGGACAGTGTGTGTGTTGGGGGGGGGGAACCACGGTGTTGCCATTGAGCAATGATGATACATGTCTCACTTCTAACCTCTCATAGTGGGGGGGGGGGTATGCCAATTCCTTCCTATGCTCCATAGGATTAATAGCTGGGGAGCATCACTCTGAAGCAAAAGCTTCTGCATTTTGTTTTCCCTTCATCAAGCCTAAAGGCCTAGTAATTAAAAAAATGACTAACAGCAATGAAAGCTCCCACATTTTAATTTCCTTTATTAATCATGTAACTTTTCCTCTTGTAGTCAACTATAGTCAGCCATATATACATGCAAAAGTAATGAGGAAGGGGCAATTTGAAGTTTCAAAATATTATTGCAATATCCAGTAGTTGCATTATTGATAAGAATGATGATGGTGAATATTGTATGATAATCAGCCTAATTCTGGGTGCTTCTCAGGTTCTCTGGAAATTGATGGGGTCACAAAAAGTGATGAAGGCAGGTATCAGTGCAATGCAACAAACATTGCTAATTCCCGACTGAGTCGGGAAGCGGCATTACAAGTTATCACTGACCCTGGTGAGTATCTTCATCATCATCTGACTGCTATTAGCACAATTCAGATCAATGACATGATACTTTTTCTTAGATTTGCTGAATGCTCCAAGGCAGCCAGAATTCATTTCCAAGCCTAAGAGTACAGTTGCAATTGAGGGACAGAATGTGACTCTTGACTGTGTAGCTAATGGTTCCCCTGCACCTTGGATAACATGGCTCAAGGATGGGACATCACTTGATATGGCGTATGTGTATCATTTCATTGCCTATCCAACTTAACTATGACTGTTACCAAAGGAGATGTCAATACTTAATCATAGCAGGCACTCACTGAGTGACTACTGGTACACAATAGCTCAGGAGACTTATTTTTTACACTTTGTTTCAGGAACTTGGATAGTCGCTTTGTGAAACTGGGCTCTGGGAGTCTCCTTATTATTCATGTTCAAGAAGCCGACTCTGGGACTTATCAGTGTCGTGCTTACAATAAAGAAGATAGCATTGATGCATCGGCTCTCTTGGATGTTCAAGGTATGATATGAATGAGTCAAAGTCATATCTGCCTTGCAATGTGTAATTATTTGAAATTTAAAATGGGGAATTGTCTCTTTGCAGTTGCCCCAAGGTTTGAAAAGAAGCCTACCAGTCAAATTGCTAAGGAAAAGCAGGATATCGAGTTGGAATGTGAAGTATATGGAAGGCCGGAGCCAACTGTCGAGTGGTACAAGAATGGAGAACTTATCATAGAAAGTGATTACTTCCAGGTTTGTTCTGTCCCTTTGTATTTTCCCTTGAAAAAAGATCACCTTGATTCAAAGGGTTGATGCAAATGTACCTGGTATTTGCAGATGGTGAATGGGAAGCATTTGAAGATTCTGGGGCTAGTTAGTTCAGATGCTGGGATTTATCAGTGCATGGCATTCAATGCTGCAGGTTACATCCAGGCTTCAGCTCATCTCTCTGTTCTTCCTGCTTCTGGATCTTCTCCCTCACATGGTGATAACTTTAGCTTCATTTCTGCAAATTGTTTTTCCATATTTCTGCTACGGTATTCATGATTGTCTCCTGAAATTCCAAGCAGTTATTTTTCTAAGTTTATGGGATCTTTCAGTGACAATTTTTCTTTTAATTTTCGCATGAATATTCTGTTTCTGAGTTCCTTCTGTTTTTTTTTTTTTGTTCTTCACTCCTGGTTTCCCTGGGTTCCTTGTTGGACACCTTCAGAAGAGGTCGAGATATCTGATCTTCCCGACCTGGACTTGCAAACGCATCTCCATCTAGGTGATGACTGGGGAGTACAGGGCTTGCCTTCAGACCCTCGCAATGTGTCATCTGTCATCGTATCTAAGCGTTTTGTGACCTTACGATGGCAACCACCATTGCATTCAGAGGGTCCTGTTCTGACATACTCAGTCTTTTATCACCAGGACAGCTCAAATCGGTGAGTGAATTGCTGTTCATCAGAATTTTGTTATCCACACACTTATGAAGGATGTTGATGCAGGTACTTGTGTTTGTGATTGCTTGCTGGAGTAGTTCCTATCCTGGCATATGGAGAATCTTTCATTAATTTATTATGAAAGTGCAGATGGAAACTAAAGTTGTGCAAAAGTATATGGTTACTGACTTGTGTTTGCTGGATGATTTTTAAATCCTATGAAACTGTGATATAACCTGAAAATTTTAAACAATTTTCCCCCATCCAAGAGAGCGGATTGTGAACACATCAAAAGAGGAAACCATCATCCAGGGTTTGCAACCAGGAAAGGCATACACGTTCCAGGTGGTAGCACATGGTCCACAGGGCCCTGGTATTCCATCAAAACCCATTGTGATCATGACTCAAGGAGAAGACAGTATTCCAACAGGGCCCCGCAATCTTCGTGCTTTCCCTGTATCTAATAGTGCCATTCAGGTCCAATGGGATGCACCCTCCAATGATCATGGAACCCTTCCTCTGCCACTTACATACAATGTATACTACATGCAGGTGAGTCAATCTGTATTTGTGGATCATTCATGTATGAGGGTTTAAAGAGGAATCCAGTTATTATGCATCCAGTTATGTATTGCAGGAGGGATCATCAGAAGAAAGTCACATTGCAACACAGGGTACAAGCTATGTCATTCATAATCTCCATCCTTATACTGAGTATAGTATCTGGGTGGCTCCTGAAGGAGGCCGAAGCACTGAGGATGTTTCAGCCCGTACCCATTCAGATATCCCCTCTGACACACCACAGAATGTGACTGTTGAGGCTGCTTCTTCCACGGTGAGCTTCATTTCTCTTGCTTGTTCTTTCAGGAATGAGCTGATATTGTGGTCTGAGACTTGAGTTTCCTCTCAGACTCAAATTCTTGGCCATTCCCAGATAATTTATGAGGAAATCTGGGTTGCTGCCTCTATGACAGCTGCTTCGTTCCACCTTGTACAAATGCAACACGTCATCCTGTACTTACTTGTGTGTGAGTTGTTGTTTCCTAACAAGGCTCTTGTCTGTTTCTCCAGAGTATTGTGGTTCATTGGGAACCACCACCCCCTGAGCACCAAAATGGAGTCATAACTGGTTATAAGATCCGCTACAAAGAACGAGGGCGTCGCGGGGAGACCATCACCACTGATGGAAACCGTCGCCTCTATGCCATTACCAATCTGGAAAAGGGACAAGAATATTCCCTTCGTATCTCCGCTCTCACAGTCAATGGTAGCGGACCATGGACTGACTGGATTGATGTGGAGACATATCCCATGGATCTGGATGAGTCCGTTGTTCCTGATGCCCCTGGATCAATTCGTGGTATGCACATTTCTCATGATGCCATAATTATTTTTTTTAAGGTGAAATATTGCACTCTAGCATTTGTGTTTGTTCATAGCCCGCCCCATGAAGACTAGTATCACAGTGATGTGGACTCCTCCAAAGAACCAGAGCATCATAGTACGAGGTTATACCATCGGTTATGGGATAGGTGTCCCAGATGTGTACAAAAAGCTGGTTGATGGCAAGCAGAGATACTATGCCATTGAGGGTCTTGGTGAGTTTATTTTCACCTTATGTATGCCTACTGTGCTACTTGTGCATTGCGCTGAAAGTGGTTGACCCTCCATTGCAGAACCTAATGCAGAATATGTAATCAGCCTACGAGCATATAATGGAATGGGAGATGGTAGGCCCATCTATGAACATGTTAGGACAAGAGGAGATGATGATACTGAATCAGCCAGTCCAATCACACCACCCTTGGGTGTGAAGGCTATCGTTCATTCAGAAAACACTGTCGTCCTCTACTGGACGGATTCTACACTTCCCAGTGATCAGGTCTCATTCTTAGTTGCTGAATGCCCCTTCCCTTCCTTTTAAAATTGTTTTAAATGCTACTTTTCCTTTGGTTATCAGGTGACCGACAATCGTTACTATACAATTCGCTACACGTCCCATCCTCAATCTCCTCGATACAAATTTCGCAACACCACTGAGCTCAACTACATGATTGATGATCTCAAGCCATACACAAGATATGAATTCTCAGTCAAGGTCACCAAGGTGAGAATCATTCCATTGCCCTTGTAACTGTGTTCAACTTGATCTGAAACAAAATCCAAACTGCTCTTTCTTCTAGGGTTTGCGTGAGAGCCAGTGGAGCCTTGTTGCAGTTAACACGACAGATGAAGCTGCACCAGAATCTCCACCACGAGATCTCACCATTGTTCCATCAGACAACAACCCTGATATGGTATATGTTAACTGGCAACCTCCGAAGATCCCTAATGGCATCATCACTGGTAAGCCCCTTCCCCTATTCACTCCAAGCTTTTAACATATTTTCTCATTGTCAATTGTATCTGAATGATTTTTTTCTTAAATTGGAGAACAGGCAAACATAATCCATCCACAGGTGGGAAATGGACTGAATTTCATTTCCAGAATACAAGGAATAATCTGTTTATGTCTGAAATGAAGGACATATTATATCCCTCCTGCATTTCCTTCTTATACACTGAAATACCTTGTTTTACCTTTCCTTTCAGGGTATGTGATCTATTACACAACAAACCTCTCTCAGCCAGACTGGAATTGGCTTGTGGATGGAGTAGTTGGAGATCGGTTGACGACAACTGTCCGAGGCCTCAAGCCAGGCTTGTCATATTATTTCAAGATTCAAGCTCGAAATAGCAAAGGAAACAGCCCTCCTTCTCCAACTGCCATCTACCACACTCCATCCTTCTCACATGGTAGCTTCCTTCTCCTGCCAGCAAGACCAGATTAAGGGGGAGGTCCCCCTCAAAGGGGGATGTTGCCCAGGCCCCACTTTTCCAGGGTGGCCCCAGAAGTAATTTCAGACCTGAGTTAAGGCTGCTATTGGAATTATATTTTTTTTTGCATTTTTTAGCTCTTTCGTGACTATAATTGAAATTTTTAGGCTTTTTATGTAGTTTTCATATTTTGTATAAATTTACCATATCATACCAAATATTATATATTAAACATTTAATTAAATAACTGAAAATTAAAATACTAAAGGGAATTCATGAGAAAATACTAAAGTCATGAGAATTTTAAGAAGTTGCAAGGCCCAGGGTAAGTGGATTCTTGGGGCTCCCCCCCTCCACCCCCAAAACATTTTACCTGGTGGTGCAAGTAGCCAAGAAGAGTCACACATTCAAGCACTGGTGGTGCAAATTT